TTGGATGAAATGTGTCTGTATGTGTAGGGGGTTGGGGGGGGGGAGTTAATGTTCTCCTTAAACTCCGCAGGTGCTACCTGGCCCAGGCTCTGGGATATTCACGGAGAGGCACTGAGGTTTTTTATGCCACAGGCCTGTGTCTTACTTACTCGTTCGTTATTCAGTGATGTGCTGAGCACCTACTATGTGCCAGGCACTGCGTTACTCTGTTCTTTTTATCCCTTTAATTCTCAACTCTGTTATTATCCATATTTTACATACAAGGGAGCAGAGGCTCAGAGAGGGTAGTTTACTGAAAGTCAAACAGAATTTGTGGCAAAGCCAGGATTCAAACACAGTACTAATTCTCTGGCAGCCATGCTTTTTTTCACTAAGCCATGGATGGTAGTGGTTCTCTGGGGTATGTATTTTTTTTTTCCACATTTATTTATTTTTGGGACAGAGAGAGACAGAGCATGAACGGGGGAGGGGCAGAGAGAGAGGGAGACACAGAACCGGAAACAGGCTCCAGGCTCTGAGCCATCAGCCCAGAGCCTGACGCGGGGCTCGAACTCACGGACCGCGAGATCGTGACCCGGGCTGAAGTCGGACGCTTAACCGACTGAGCCACCCAGGCGCCCCCTCTGGGGTATGTATTTTAAAACACAGTCTGGGACTTCTCAAAAGATGTGATTCCCAGTCCCTTTTGGAAAACATTTAAGGACATTTGTAGTGACTTGGATATGTGAATCTACAAAATAATACAAGGAACTCACATTTTATTTCTTTTGGACAGCTCTGGCGTGGCCCTATACCTACCTCTCTAGACCTGGTCCCATGGGACTGGCCTGTGCCTCCCCGGGGCCAACCTGGCTGCTGCTTCCCTGGTCCCAAAAGAGCACCCACCGCCCACGAAGCGTTGCACCCACATTGTTGATCATGAGATGCATGATGGTCTTCGGCATGAGGTCCCTCACGGTCTTGTTAACGATGGCCATGTACGAGTCCACCAGGTTCCGGATGGTCTCCACCTGCCGCTCTAGCTGTGGGTCCATGGAGTGCATGAAGTTGTCCGAACCATTCTCCTCAGTCTCGCTGGCCTGCCATTGAGAATAGAGGGCATTAGGGTGGCTGGGCTCTCGCAGCCAGGTTCTAGGCGCCCCCAGGGGCTTGGCCCCTCCCTCCAAGGGTGGCCTGGAACACTGAGGCGCACAGAACAAATGGCCTGCACACACAGATGCCAACTCCCCCAAACGCTCTGCATCTGGGCTCTGCCCAGTGCCTCTGAAGACCCCAGACCCTGTTCAGTCTTATCTCGGCGCTCAGTCTAGTGCCTAGAATTTGCCTCAGTTTCCCAGTCCATCGATTAGGAAAGGCTTTCCAAGGTCCCTTCCTGATTCTAAAGACCTGGCCGGAGCTGCGGCCAGGCTGGAGACACCTGGCTGAAGGCGAGGGAGGGGCACACTCACTTTCTCCTTGTCCTGGGAGGCCCACGCCAAAGCCACAGAGGTCACGCCGCCAGCATTGCCACCGCCGCCGCCACCAGCAAGCAGAGCCGGAGCAGACACACACACAGAGGAGAAGGGGAGTGAACTCAGGGCGCCCTACCCCCACGCTAAAGCAACTCTAGACATCAGGGAAAGAGAGGAGGAAAGTGGAGTGGCCACAAGAAACCACCATTATATGCAGGGGATGCGTGAAATGCCAACGGGGCAGAGGAGGGGCCAGAGGAGGGTCACGTAAAACCAGCACTGGAGGACGGGAGGAAGGCTTAACTCTGACCCCGCCCCAGGACAGGTAGGGGGGGCATCTGTGCTGTTTCCGAGCCCGTAAGGGCTGAGGCTGGTGACCCAGGTGGCTTGGCCCCCTCCCGGCACCACCACTCACCCCAACGCGCTCCGGATACACGCCAGCCCTCAGGAAGGAGGCCTTCCAGCTGTCCACCTCCTCCTGTGTCTCACAGGCCAGTTCCAGCTGCCGATAATCCTTGTAGACATTCCTGCAAGGGCAGGCAGGGAGGGGAAAAGGCATGAAACCCACTCACCCAGGTGGTTAAGGGCATGCATGGATGGGGGGGGGGCGGTCATCATGCCTGGGGTCCAGTCCTGGCTCTCTCACTTCCCAGCTGTGTGACCCTGGGCAATCCTCCTCTCTCCAAGCTTCAGTTTCCTTGTCTAGAAGATGGGTTAATAATGACTCCTACCTCCCTGGGTCACTGTCAGGATTCAGTGAAACCAGCAGTACGATGCTCTAAGAAAAAGGGGGACTGAGCCCCTCATAAGAGGGGCATCCCTGACCAGGCAGCCCCCAGTGGCTCCCTCCCTGGCCCTCTGGGAACCTCCCTGATGGCAACTGTACTGAACCCTCATCTCGAGGGAGGTGAAGCCCACAGGAGTCAGCCCTGGCTTGGGAGGGGAGAGACCCGGTATTGTCACGGACCCCACTGGACACTGAGCAACAAGAAGGGGACCAGGCCTGATGGGCTTTTCTTCGTCCCCAGTGCCCGGCAGAGTCTATGCAGAACAGGCACTAACCCACTAACCGAATGACTGGAAGGTGGGGGGGGGGGGGGGGGGGGCGGCGGAAGGGGGAAGGAGATTTTGATATGAAGTCCAGCACCGAGTAGGGACTGGGTAAATATCTGTCAAATGAATGACGCGCTGTGGGGCTCAGGGCAGGGTCCCTCCCCTCTCTGCCCAGTGAGGCTGGTTTGGGGCTTGCAGGGTCTGGGGACCCACCTCTGCTCAGTGTTAAAGAGGGCAAAGATGTGCTTGCTCGACATGAAACCTTTCTCCACATCCCGCAGCTTCAGGTTGTCCACGGAAAGCATGTATTTCTTCTCTTTCTCCTGCGGATAGAGATGGGAGCAACGGTGAGGGGGGCCGCGCCTCACGTCCGAAGAGCACTCTGTGCTGGGGGCGGGGGGCTGGGGCTGCGGACCCCCAGAGTGGCCCCGGGCTTCTGGGCGCCAGGGCCCCCCTGCACTGAACAGGTGCTGTCTAAAGAGAGCTGGAGCTCTGGGCCTGCTGAGCACCTCTGGTGCCCAATGACCTTCAAGCCGTTCCCAAGAGCGCAGGGTGGCGCAGGGTTCCCTCAGCGCAGGCTGAGGGTGGGTCCCAGTCCCACCCCAAGTGAGCCCTGGATGCAGTCCAGGCCGGCCCCAGCCAGGGACCCCGCCCTCAAAGCCTCTCTCCCCGCCGGCCCGGCCAAAGGAGACCTGCTTCGGATAAGCTGCTGACTTCATTTCCTGACTGTGGAGACAGAGAGACAGAGAAGGGGGGGCCGCCGGCAGCCCCGGCGGCTTCAAAGGGCCGGCTCAGCCCACTCCCCCCAACCCACCCATGTGTTAGCAATCAGGCGCACGGCACAGACCCGGAGGTGGTACGCCTGTGTGTGCAACGTGTGTGTGGCCGTGTGCCTGTGCGAACGCACGCCGGCCCGAGCACGTACGCTGTCACCACCGTGTGTCAAGGCGGATGTGTGCACGCTTTTGTAGATGCGGGTGGCAACTGTAAATACCTGTGTCGTACGGAGTGTGCCCGCGGGCCACACTGCGGGCACACACATTTGCGTGCCTGTGGCCTGTTTAATGGGATTGGTTTGGCCGGAGCCCTCTGGGAGGAGTGATGTGTATCTGTGGATGCGCATGTGGGCGCCAGGCCGACGTGCACGCGCGTGTGTGCCTGCCATGGGCTGAGATCTGTCTGTAGGTTGCTACGTTCAAGGGAAGGCCCGGGGATCTGCGGACGAGATAGTCCAGGATCGGGCTCTGGGAGGAGGACAAGGGTTTCTGCTGCCGGCACCCCACTTGCCCACACCACAGGACCCATGCTGTGACCGGCGGTGGGGTGTGGGGGGCGGGCGGGGATGTCTATGTGGGTCTCAGGGACTCAGGGCTTGGGCACGAGCCTCGGCCAGGACCACGGGTCAGGGGCTGGGTTTAGGAGGACCCTGCTCCCAGTCCTGCCCACCTCCTTCTGCCCCCCCCCTCCACCCGCCTGGCCCATCCAGCCACATAAAGCCTTCTTTATGCCAGGCGGGTGGCCAGGAGCCCCAGAGGGCGGCTGGGGGAGGAGAGGAGGAAGTTGCACACGCGGCCAGGGAACATCTGGAAGCGTTCGAGGGAGGCCCCACCACCACCCGCCCTGCCGCCCTGCCTGCGCTCTGGGGTTGGACTCTAGGTAGGAGCGGCCTCCTCCCCCCACCCCTCCCTTCCTGCTGGCCGGCCCCCTCCCCAGGCCCCTCCTTCCCAGCCACAGCTCCCGCTCACCCCTGCCACGTCAAAGGAGGCAGAAGGGGAGTCGGGAGCAGAGAGGGGACCACGGGCTGGCTGGGCTGGGGCTGGGGGGCCTTGGATCTCCAGGAGACGGGGCCGAAGCTCCCACCCGACCGACAGACACTGCTGCCTGGATGGATCAGAGGACACCTCCACTCCGTCTACCCAGTGTTTAGACTATCTGTTCAGGACTCCCAAATTGTACAGTAGTCTGCACATTGGTTAGGCTGGGCTGGGTTAGACCCTCGGCACCGCCGCTGGAGAGCTGGACCGACCCCCACACGCCATCCCAGAACCGGAGTCTGGAGACCGGGCAGGGGACTG